ATGGTCACTGAGAACTTCAAGGGGCATCAGCCCCTGCCACCCACCACAGCTCTGCCTTCTGGCCTCATCCCCGTTCCAGCCCGGAGTGCAGTGGGCAGCCATGCCTCCTTACCCTGAAACCCACATTCCCCGAGGCTGGGTGCTTGGGGGAAAGAGGCAGGGGTGTTTCCTCGAGCCTCTGTATGTCTATATATCTACATCTCTCCATCCCTCCATCCATCTGTCCATCCCTCCACCCACCCAGTCTGTTCACCCATCCATCCATCCGTCCATCCGTCCATCCATTCGTCCATCCATCTGTCCATCTACCCACCCACCCAGTCTGTTCATCCATTCATCCACCCACCCAGTCTGTTCATCCATCCATCCATCCATCCATCCGTGATCTAACAAATGTTTCTCAAGTACCTAATACGTGCCATGTACTTTTCTAAGCACTGGGGCACAGTCCCAAATGACACAGTGTTTCTGCCCTCATGTAGCCAGCATCTTAGCATCTTAGCACCTTCCCAGCCATCCATAGACATCTCTCTGTCTTTTTGTCTTTCCATCTATCTGTCCATTCCCTTCACTCATCTGTTCAGCCAGTGTTTACTGAGCACCTACTTTGGGACAGGCACCAATGAGGATCACGGTGTGGCCCCTGTCCTTACAGGGCTCCCAGGCTAGCTGGGGAGGCAGGCAAGGACATGGGCAGTTATAATCTCATGTGGTCAGTACTAGGATGGGGGTGGATACCACTGGGGCTTCGGGAGGACTTCCTGGAAGAGGTAGCACTTAGCCGACCTTGAAGGGTATCCCCTGAAGCCTTACTCGGCCACCTAGGCCCAGGGCCCTGGCCACTCCGACCACGCCAGGCCCCGGGGTTCAAGCCAAAGGGCCAGGCCACCAGTGGGCCATTGGCTCTCCATGCCTGCAGAGTACCAGCCCGCGGTGGGTAGGGCAGGGCAGGCAGCAGCCACACCCTATTACAAAGTCAAGTAAAGTGCTGAGCTCCACAGAGAGAGGGAACTGGCCCAAGACCACACAAAGCGTGGCCTGGGGGTGAGGGGCTCCGGGCAGAGCTGGCGTGCAGGCGGGCCGGGCCGGGGGCTCCATTCACAGCTGCAGGCTGTCTATTCTTCTCGTGGGGGCAGCGCCCGCCCCAGCTGCAGTAATGGGAATCAGCTGCCGCTGCCGCCGGCTGCACCCTCTCCCTCCTGCCATGGGGCCGGCTGCACTGGGCTTCTGAGCCAAGCCCTCTTCCTTACCTCGTCTCTTGCCAGCAGGACTCTTTGTCCAGAAGCTTCGGGGCCTCTGTGGCCAGGCCACTCATTGCCTGCGAGGGGGCTCACGGGCACCCTGGCATCTAGAAGGCTCTGTTACTGCCAGGTACCCTCCCACGCCCTCCAGGCAGCACGGGGTCGGGGGTGGGGGGCAGGCACCCTCATGTCCGTCTGTCCGGTGGGGCTCCGCGAGGCCCAGCTTTTCCTGCCATCAGCTCTCATAGAGGCAGAGGCTTTGGTCTCTGGGCTTGGCCGCTGGGTTGGAGAAGGCTTGCTGTGGGAACGTGGAACAGGCCTGCTTCGGATGACTTCCTGCGAGTTAACCAGTCACCTGTTGTGTCTCCGGGATCTTCCCAGAAAAGAGACAGTCCAGAAGAAGCCAGCCTCAATGTCCCCAGGAGCTTCTGGAGAAGCAGCTTCCAGAAACTGGTAGGACCAACTCCATCCACAGGAGGCCCCAGGCTGAGCCCCGGCAGGAAAAGCAGGCCCGAACTCAAGTGGGGGCACCATACTGCCTCCGAGCCTGATGGGGGGGCAGAGTAGGGCCTCATGGTCATGTGGGCCCCCTTTCCTTGGCCACCTCTCTATACACCTTCAATGGACAGCTCTGAAGCCGTTCAGCCACCTGCTGCCCAGGAGCCCCACGGACCCACATGCCTGCTTGTGTGACGATTTGCCCGTGAGCACCTTGTAAAGTGGACGGCAGTGTTATCCTCATGCTACGGGAGGAAAACTGAGGCTCACAGCAGGAACATCCCAGGTCTGAGGTCTGGGAGCAGAGAAGGGGCCCCTCTGGGTTTGTAAGGCTGGTGGGCTGGCTCCAGAGGGGTCCCCAGCCCCTGTGCTGTGCTGGGGCCTGCCTGCAGCCCGTGCTCCCAGCCCCCTTCCCCAGGACCCTAAGGCCCCCCAGGAGCTTCCTGGCAACCTGGTCAGCCCTCCCCATCCCCTCTGAGCTCCCCATTTCCTGTCCTGAGCCCAGCACCTCCCCTTCCCCCAGGGCTCGCTGGCTGGCTTTTTGGCTCAGTGGGTCCCTGGTGGGGGGAGCCTTTGGGCCTAGGGCAAGGGCAGGGGAGGAGAGTGCCCTAGGCTTGGGGAAGGGGGAGAGGGGAGCTAAGCCGGCCACCCCCTTACAGTTTTTAGACCTCAAGGAGTCACCACGAAATTCCATTCTCCTGACAGCAAAGAAACTGAATCACTCTTGCCAAAGCCCACGGCCCCCACAAGAATGCTGTAAGGCTTTGTCCGGCTGTTCCCAGACAGGCAGCCACACCCGGGACCCCCCGCTCCCCGAGCCTGGCTGCAGAGAGGCGCAGGAAAGCCCCCCCCCAGGCTGGACTGGTCCCGCTCTGTACAGGTGCTCCCTCTCCTCGCTCCCCGCGTGCAAGGCAGCAGTGCACCGAGCTTCACCTTGCTTTCTGTACAATGGGCAGGCTGGAGCCGGGCCACAAGTCAGGGAAAGCAAGGAGTGCCACATCCTTGGCAGGGCCTTGTCAGGTGGGTGTGTGGGGTACCATGGCGGTGTGCTGCTCCTCCTTGACCTCTCAGAGAACAGTCAGCATCTAGGGGGTACCAAGTATGGATGCCACTGACCTGAATCCCAGGTGCGGGGCACAGCTCATGCAAAGATTTTGGGGCACAATGGTGCTTGGGCTGCTGGGGAATGGGGAGGATTGCAGGGTTCAGCAAGAAATGGGGCTGGGAATAGGTAGACACCAGGCCAGGATTTGAACTCAGAGCAATGGGGTGCCATGGAAGATTCTGATTGTGTGTGTGTGTGTGTGTGTGTGTGTGTGTGTGTGTGTGTGTGTAGGGAGTGGGGTATGATTAGAACCGTCTGGTTGCAGAGTGCAGAATAAAACAGCAGGTAGATGGGCGACAGGGAGACCAGGGTGGAGACTGCCCAAGACGTCCAGAGGAGAGATGAAGGTGGTGGAGGGGACTCCTTCTAACAATAGGCCAGATCTGAGATAGATGGGAGTTGGTGGTGGGGCAAGGGACATGGGGACTTCAGACTTGAGGCTGGGCTGGGGCTCAGCCTACTGTTTGGGGGCAGCCCATGCAGCCATAGGGAGTTTTTCTCCCCTGCCCACCCCCACCCCTCCAGCTGCCTCGAGGCCCTGAGGCTGGGCTGATGGGGGAGGGGTTTATGGCAGGAGGTGACACCACGGGAGACTTATCACTTGGGCACAGCCAGGACCATCTGCTCAGGCATCTGCCTGCCTGAGGTGGCGCCTGCTAATTACCTGGGGTGGGGGGGGAGCAGGAAGAGGCCTGGGAACCACTATCCTCCATCACACCCCATGACAGAGGGGCTGGAGGAGGGCCCCAGGACCCTACGAGCAAATGGGCTACAGCCTCCCTGCTCCCGGGTGGGGTTGGGCAGACATCTACGCAGTAACTCCTTACAGAGCACCTACTACGTTCCAGCCCTGTTCTGCACTTGACCTTTGCGGGGGGCAGACATCTCTACCCAGTAAATCCATACAGAGCACCTACTACGCCCTGTTCTCCTGCACTTGACCTTCAGTGCAGGAAGGGGGACCCATTGCAGGCAGAGGGCTAAGGGCTGTGAGGAGAACTGGCCTGTGGGCAGAGTGAGCGCTGAATGGGCCTCCGGGCCCTGGTGGTCGCAAAGGGCCTCCCGAGGAGGGGATGCCACAGCCGAGAGGGAGGGGAAGGAGGCTCAGCCAAGCGGAGAGCCGCCCCCAGCTGCGCTTCCGGAAGATGCTGAGGGCAGGGAGCTCAGACCCTGATCCCGCGCCAGGGGGCCCCCTGGTCACTTCCGGGCCCCTCGCCCCTCACCCTCACCCCGGCTGATGGCGCGCATTCCTGCCGCCCCTGCTCGTGCGGTGGGCCGGCCCGGCCCGTGGGAAGGCCTGGGGGTGGGGGCCGCCGTGTGCCGGGGAGGCGGGGCGGGGGCACAGCTGGGCCACATCTGGCCTGAGCGCAGAGGGACCAAATGGGACAGAAAGCAGCCTTTCATCCCGCGAGGGGCGGGGCGACTTCAGTTTCTTCTCGCCACGGGGCGTCCGGAGGACTTCGGGGACCGGCTCCGCACCCCCGCCGCCGGGCTGGAATTCGAGGAAATTAGCTCGGGGCGGGGGTGGGGGTTAGGGCGCTGAAGGTGGAATTTCATACAGGTGCTTTCTCGGTGGAAACACGTGTCCCTGCCCGTGGCTCGGCGGGGGGGAGGGGGGCTCAACTCCTCCTCAGCGTTAATCACAGCTGCCTTAGGTGCGCTCAGGTCCACTTAGGCGCCGCCCCCTATTCTTGGCACGCACCACCGCAAGGGGAGGACGCCGGGCTTGGGGAGGGGCAGTGCACCGCAGGACTGCGGAGCCTGAAGCCCCCGTGCCAGAACCCCGGTCGGGCGCGCCCTTCCGCGTGCCAGACGCCCCATGCGGCCCCCGCCGGCGCTGGCCAGCCTGGCTTCCCCTTCGGGGCCACCGGGGCGGGCCGGGCCCAAGGCCCCACGCCCCTCGGCCGCCCGCGGGGGACGACCTGGGCGGGGCGTGCACGTGCTCACAGGGGGCGGGGCGGCAGTGCCCGCCGGGCCTTTCCCAGACCCCCGCCGCGGCCCCACGTGGGCGCTGCGACTCTCGGGGGGCGACCCGCGCGAGGCCCCGCCCCAGGGCCCCGGAGCCAGTGAGAGCGCGGTGGGGGCGGGGCCTCGCGGAGGACCACGCCCCCAGAGGGCGGAGTCCGGCGGGGAGGTTTAAGAGCGCGGCGCGCGGGCAGTGGACAGCTGAACGCGCCGCGGGACCCGGGATCCTCGGCGCCGGTGTGCGGGGCGGGGCAGGGCAGGGCGCACCGGGCAGGGCGCGCCGGCGGCCGCCACCCCACCATGCTCAAGCGCTGCGGCCGACGCCTGCTGCTGGCGCTGGCGGGCGCGCTGCTCGCCTGCCTGCTGGTGCTCACGGCCGACCCGCCGCCGCCCCCTGTGCCCGCAGAGCGCGGCCGGCGAGCGCTGCGCAGCCTGGCGGGCCCCGCGGGGGCGGCCCCGGCGCCCGGGCTGGAGGCGGCGGCGGCGGCGGCGGCGCCCGCTGCGCTCGCTCGCGAGGTGCACAGTCTGTCCGAGTACTTCAGCTTACTGACTCGCGCGCGCAGAGACGCGCGCCCACCGCCCGGGGGCGCTCCCCGCCCCGCCGACGGCCACCGACAGCCCCCGGCCGAGTCGTTGGCGCCCCACGACGTTTTCATCGCGGTCAAGACCACCAGAAAGTTTCACCGCGCGCGCCTCGATCTGCTGCTGGAGACCTGGATCTCGCGCCACAAGGAGATGGTGAGCCCCCACGGCCTGGGCGGGGTTGGGGGGTGCCGTTTTGTGCAGCCGGTGGCAGTATCCGATGGGCGCCAGGCTGCACATCTGTCCAACTACCGGGACTATGTGGGGGTAGTGACGCCAGTCCATCCCTTTCCAGCCCGGTCTGCCTGATGGGGCCACTCTCCCCGTTGAGTTGTGCAAGTGTCAGAGGGGGACCCGACCCCATCCAACTTCCAGAGCCCTGGATAGTGTGAATTGATCCTACCAGCTGCCATTGCTTGGTAGGCATCTGTGATGTTTCTCCCCCCCACCCAAGCATTGGAGTGCATTAATAAGGTGCTGTTGTCCCCAAACCTCCCGAAGGCAGAGTCTTCGTGCGGCATCCACCTGGGCTCAGACCCTGCCCTGGGGAGGAAGACTTTTTCCTGAGTGGTGGAGTAGGGGGTTAGAACCCCCGGTATAGGGCTGGTCCCCTCTCTCATATGAGTCTTTTCTATGGGATGGGGGACAAGTCATTGTTAAAGATAATTTGGAGTTGGGGTATGTGCTGGTGAGCCCTGGAGAATCCATTTCCAAAGAGAGCACTGGGTTTTGGGGATCTTGTGCAGAAACCCTGTCCCCAGAGCGCAGGAGTCTTTGGAGCCTTGAACTTTGTGCTTACTGCACCCTAGTTGAGCATTGGCTTCCTACACATAATAAAGACACACCCCACTTTGAAAATCTCCCTCGAGGCTGCAGCAGAACGGTTGGGTTGGGGCGGGACAGGGCATTGTGGGCTCTGCCAGGGGAGGGGTAGTGAGGGAACAGCCGTGGGCTGGGAGATTCAAGGGACTAAGTGGGCATTTGGGGTGAAGCTGAGGGACCCTTGACCGGGGTGAGGGCTCAGAGAGGACCCCACACCCCTTCCTCCCTGTTTAAATCTCAAGGCCTGGGATCTTCTGGCGTGGCTGAGCCCTGTTTTGGGACAGGGTTCTGGTGAGGTCATTAAGGGGTTCCGGGGGGTGGGGGTGGGGAAGGGTTCTTTCTGGTTCCAGTGTGGGGAGGGGGCCCTGGGAGCCCCATGGCAGCCTCCTGGGAAAGCAGCAACCCCTTTCCCAGGGGCTCAGCGGGCTGGCGGGAGGGGGCGGCGGGGGCCGTGGGTTTTGTTTGGCGGCCGGGCCGTTAGGATTCCCAGCGCCCGGCGGCTCTCACGCCGGCCGCTTGGGCAAGGTAACAAAGCCCCTTTCTCCAGCGGAGAAAGGCGTCCGGCCTCTTGTGCGCAGCTCTGCGCTCCATGGGAACCGCCACTGGCGTGCTGGCCACTCAGGTTGCTTGGTGATGAGAGGGCCGCCGGGCCCCCCCTCCATCCCTGACTGACAGCCCTTGTGGGGCACCATCCCTGAGCCAGGCACCCTACCCCCCAGGACCCTGCCTCCCTGCTGGGTGACCTTTGGCAGCGTTCGGCTCCCGCTGGGCCGCCACCAGCTCCGAGCTCTCGTCTTGGACTTGGGGGGCTTTCTCCAGCAGAGGGGATGCGGTCGAAGGGTCTTGGGTACCAGTCCCAGCCCAGGTGGGTAATCTTGGGCAAGACCTGAGGCCTCTCTGTCCCTCCGTCGCCTCATCTCTGGAAGGGGACTGGCAAAACCTGGAGGCAGAGGGAATGAGCTCAACAGTTACCCAGGGTCGGGGGTGGGGGCCGTCACTCCCCCCGGGCCCTGAGGTCCCTGTTGAAGGGCCACTCAGGTTTCCTTCTTCCTGGCTGAACCCACCCAGGAGAGGCTGCGCATCTGCCCCCAGCATCGGCTCATGTGTCACAGCAAGCCAGAGGCTGCACATCGCGTTGTGGGGGAGGGGGTCCTTGAAACTCTCATGACCCAGGGCCCTCCTCTTCCAGTCCTGTGCATGGTGAATCAGGCCCAGTTTGATGGGGGAGACGCAGAGAAGTCAGGGCTTTGGTGGGGGAAACCCAGAGAGGCTGTGCGAGCTGAGAGTGGGCATCTGACCCACGTGGAGGGTTGGAGGACTTCCTGGAGGAGGTGCCATTTGAGTTAGACCGACAGGACCAGCATGGAGCATGTGTAAGAAACTTCCAGCAACTGGAGTGATGGGGGGTGGGGGTTGGTCAGCAGGGGCCACACTGAGACAGTCCTCAAAGTCCAGGATGAGGGGCTGGACCTTCGGCCCCCACGTCCCTCCCCCACCCCCTCCCAGGAGTGGGCCAGGCTGCGGCGGCTGCCACCACAGCGGCCACAATTGCTGGGGGAGAGCTTGGCATCCTGTGTTTCTTTGAATCGCAGCTCCAGGAACAATGCCGCTTCCTGTGGGTGTCCCCCCGCCCGCTCTGGGCCAGCCCTGCCGCCCTTGCTGCCCTGCTCTTCCTCCTCCAGCCCCATCGTCGGGGAAGTGGGGAGGAGGCCTGGCCGGGCAGGGGGGAGGGGCTCAGTCCCCGGAAGGCACTTGGGGGCACTTGGGGGCACTTGGGGCTAGGCCGGCACCACGTCTGCCCCAGCGTATGACCACAGGCGGGCGGCTGCCCCTCTCTGGTCCTCAGCGTCCCGTGTCCACTCAGGTAGTGACAGTGCCCACTTCTCAGGGCCGTTAGGGAGACCAAAGAAGGGAGTCAGTGTCCGTGCTTCGCTCTGGGTACAGGTGAGCTCTTGTTGTGCCCATTTGACAGAGGAGGATCCTGAGGCTCTGAACCGCCAGGCAGCGTGTCCCCTCCTCTGCCGATTGCTCTGATGTGGGGAGACGGGAGGCCTGGCACCCTCACACCCCCGACAGCCCCACCCTCCCTTTACTCCTCTCCAGGCCTCCCGCCTTGCTCTCCCCCCAGCTGAACAAAGGTGACTTTAATCTCCGTAGCCTTGGGCTGGGTTTTTAGGGCAGCACCAGAGCGCGGGAGAACAGGCCCCGCTTGATCTCATTAAGAAAGCATTTTCCTTTTAATCCGGAGACGGCAGTGGCGCGTCTGCACTGGCCGGCCTCAGCCTCCCACAGCATTCCTGGGCTGCGATGCTGGGGAGTGGGTGGGGGGCTGGGTGCGAGTCTGTGCGTGCGGGCTGCCTTGGGGTGCCTGCAGGGCTCTGGAAGGAGGGGGTGCGTGTATGGAGAGGGTGTCCACGGGGCTTGCCCCTTCCCCAGCTCTAAGCCTGTGATCGGCACCTTGTGGCTTCACCTGAGTCTGGGCTCCAGTCTGGGGTCAGGCTCAGCAAGCAGCCGGGGCCGCCCAAAGGAGGGTGGGGACCCCAGCTGGGTCTCCCAGGTTGCTGGGTATGTACTGTTCTCTGGGCTTGCATATGCTAAATCCTTCCTTGGACCCATACAAAGAAACTGAGGTCTGGTGGGCATGGAGGTGGGGGGGGTCTCCTGCTTCCTGTGCTCAGAGCACCCGCCCCCACCAGGCCCCAGACTTTGCATTCAGCCAGGCCTGGGTGCGCTGGGCGGCACGCGCTGGGCGGGCCGGGCAGAGGAAGGAACATTCCTCCCCGTGTGCTGACGGGCCCAGGCGGGTGCCGGCAGCTCCTGGCTCCGCCCTGGTGCCCCCCCCCCCACTTCCTTGGAGCGATCCTGGCAGGGGTGGTGCTGTGTTGGCCCAGGTAGAGCCTTGATGTGGCCTTGGGCAAAGCCTGTCTGCCAGCCTGGATTTCCTTGCCTGAGCTGGGGGGGGGGGGGGGGGGGGGGTGCTTAGCCGCGGGGTGGCGCACCCGCCGTTTCCCACCTCAACCCTCCTGACTGTCGGAGTTTCCAGAGCACAGTGGTGCCTTCTTAGTCTCAGAGAAGGTGACCTGGCCGGCTAATCGCACCGGCCGGGGCGTGGGGGTCCGGCCTTGAAGGCCCAGCCCCGAGGACTGCAGTGCTGTGGCCGCACCCCTGCCCGGCGGACCTCTCGCCCAGCCCAGTTAACCAGGCCAGCTGTATGGTAATGGGCAGCGCGGCCACTCCCGCTTAACGCGGCCGAGTTAAGGCCAGCCCGGCACCCCTCGCCGTGCGGCCCAGGACAAAGCTGGCGGACAATGCCTGGTGATTCATCCTCCCTCCGGGCCCTTTGTCCGCCAGGGCTTGGCAGCCGCCCAGCAGAGGCCTTTGTCCCTGACTGATTGAGACTTGGCTTCCCAAAGCCGACCTCCTCCGCCTGCCGCCCCCCCCCCGCAGCCCTCTGCCCCCTCCCGCAGGCTGGGCGCTGTGTCAATAAGGGTGTGTGCCCTGCCAGGTGTGCGGGGCGGGCGAGGAGCTGGTTACCTGGCGGGTGGGCGGGGCGCCCCACCTGGCTCGTGCCGGCACAGCCGCCAGGCGACCTTGGGCCCAGCTGTCGACATGGGGGTGGGGTGGGGTCTGCAGGAGTCCTGGCCCCGCTTCTATTTAGGCTGGACACTTGAGACCACCTACGTGGGTGCATGTGGGGAAACTGAGGCCCGTGGAAGGGTGGAGAGTGGGTGTGACTGAGCTGTAGCTGCTGAAGCCTCAGGGTGCCCGGCCCTGCACCCCCTCAGTGGCCCGGGGCTGGGGGACACAGAGCCGCCTGTTCAAGGCCACGTTTCTCCTTCCAGACGTTCATTTTCACCGATGGGGACGATGAAGCCCTGGCCAGGCGCACGGGTGAGCCCTGGACGTGGGGAGGCCGGGGAGGCGGGGGGGCTCCACTCCTGGAAGGAACTAGCCCCTCCCCCCTCCCCTCTGGAGAGGTCACGGAGGCCACGGGCCAGAGAGAGCAGTTTACTCAACTGGTTTGCTCAATGCCCCGCCCCATCGCGGGGGGTGGGGGGGGCACCCAATTCTCATGCAAATGAGGTCCTTTCAGCTCCCAGGGCCCTTTGAGCTGATGTGGCGGCAACAGGTGGCCGGTGCTGGGAAAAAGCCGCCTGAATGGGCAGGGGCGGGCCGGGGCGGGCCGGGGTTGCCCGGAGGGGGTTGGGCTGGGGGGGGTGGGGAGCGTGATCACCGGGCGTGAGCCCTGTGCTGGGGAGTGGGCAGCAGGAGGAGGCCGCCGCAGGGCACAGCTTGAACCCCGGGCGCCCTAGGACGGTCACCCGCTCCATTCCGCTCCGCTCTCAGGGCGGGAGGCGGGGGTGTTGGTCGCTGACCCCTCGGAGCCGGCTCAGACCCGCTTACAGCCCCCTCCCTTGCTCCCAGGCAACGTGGTCAACACCAACTGCTCGGCTGCCCACAGCCGCCAGGCGCTGTCCTGCAAGATGGCGGTGGAGTACGACCACTTCATCGAATCGGGGAGGAAGTGAGTGTCCCGAGGAGCGCGCCCCGTCCCCTGCAGGTCCCCGCCCTGGCGGTCCACAGCCCTTGACATGTGCGCGCGCTCTCCCCGTGGCTTCTCCGCAGGTGGTTCTGCCACGTGGACGACGACAACTACGTCAACGTCAGGGCTTTGCTGCGGCTGCTGGCGGGCTACCCGCACACGCAGGACGTGTACATCGGCAAGCCCAGCCTGGACAGGCCCATCCAGGCCACAGAGAGGGTCAGCGAGAACAAGATGGTGAGCGCGCCGCCCTCGTGGGCCCGAGCTGGGTGGCCAGGACGCCTAAGGGGTCCCTGCAGCTCGGGGTGAGGGTCTCTCACCACGCTCCCCTCCCGCAGCGCCCTGTCCACTTCTGGTTTGCCACTGGTGGGGCAGGCTTCTGCATCAGCCGTGGGCTGGCCCTGAAGATGAGCCCGTGGGCCAGGTGAGTGCCCTTGGGCCCCAGGGTGAGCCTGCCCTGGGTCCCAAGGCCTTCCCAGCAGCGGGTGTCCCCAACCTCACATGCACGGGTGGGCTGAGTCACGACCCCACCCCGCACGCACCCCACCGGTCACTGCCATCGGGCAGGACTCCTTTCTCTGCTCGCCCGGTAACCCCGACTCGGAGTTATCTAGCCGGTTGAGAGGAGGGTGCTGTGCGGGGGCTCTGGGAGGGACGGAGCTGCTGACCGGCCAGCTGGTCAGTGTTCTGACCCACATCCTGCTCCGCCGGGGGCATGTTCCCTTCCTCTCCTCCCGGGTCTGGCTTCTTCATCCCCGGCTGGGTTCTGGCTGGCTGGGTCTGACTGAGCTCCCAGTAGGCCTCCAGCTCCCGCCTTTGCTCATGGGTCGGGCCCTGTCCTCCTGCAGCAGGGGCCATTTCATGAGCACAGCCGAGCGGATCCGCCTGCCGGATGACTGCACCATCGGCTACATCGTGGAGGCCCTGCTGGGTGTGCCCCTCATCCGCAGCGGGCTCTTCCACTCCCACCTGGAGAACCTGCAGCAGGTGCCCGCCTCGGAGCTCCATGAGCAGGTGCACCTCCCAGGCCCAGGAGGGAAGGGGAAAATCCAACCAAACGAAGTGGTATGGTGGGGGGAGGATGGAGTCACTGATTTAAACAGGGAAGTCAGGAAGGGCGCCACTGTTGGCTGCCCCTCGGACACCCATCCCCCCACACCCCCCACCAGCGGGACCCTGCTCGAATCCTGGGACACCTACTCTGCTGTTTGGGGGTTCTCTTGGCCCTGGCCAGGCATTCCGCTAGCCTTTGCTGAGGCCTCCACCCTAGACTTCATTCCTGGGTTGTGCAGAGCAGGTGGGGTGTGGTACAGTGGGACTCACAGGCCTGCCTTCTTGGTCCAAGGGAGGGCAGAAGGCAAGGCTGTCCCCTCTCACAGAACCCAATGGGCAGCCGTGGATAAAGCCAGGGACATGGGGGCCTCTCCTGGTCTCAGCCGGGCCCTCCCTTCCCCCCCCGACAGGTGACCCTCAGCTACGGCATGTTTGAGAGTAAGCGGAATGCCATCCACATGAAGGGGCCTTTCTCGGTGGAGGCTGACCCGTCCAGGTGAGGAAGCAGGTCCAGATAGAGGCTGGGCCTTACGTTGGGGGTCTGCTGGGGCTAGAGGGGTTCTCGGGGGGGGTCTGCTGGGCCTGGAGGGGTGCCCTAAGGGGGTCTGCTGGGGCTCCCTGGAGGGTCTGCTGGGGCTGGAGAGGTACCCTGGGGTGTCTGCTGGGGCTGGAGAGGTACCCTGGGGTGTCTGCTGGGGCTGGGGGGCACCCTAGGGGATCTGCTAGGGCCAGAAGGGTGCCTGGGGGGGCCTGCTGGGGCTGGAGGGGTTCTCTGGGGGGGTGTCTGCTGGGGCAACGGCTGGGGCTGGAGGGGTGCCCTGGGGGGGGTCTGCTGGGGCTGGTACGCTGAAGCAGCGGGAGTACAGCCCCCCAGGAGCCTTGCTTAGGGTGGACCAGGGCCCCTCTGCTGCTGTGGGTCTGAAGATAGGTGCTCAGCACCCTCTGCCCCCCTGGCCCCCCCCCCCCCCCACAGACCTGCCCCTACTCTGTCCCCACAGGTTCCGCTCCATCCACTGCCACCTGTACCCGGACACACCGTGGTGTCCCCACAGCGCCGTCTTCTAGCAGCCGTGGTTGAGACCCTGTCCTCGGGCGCCCCTGGTATCCAAAGGGCCCGGGGACCTGTGTTGTGCCGCCCTGGCCTTGGCATTCGAGGCTCCCCCAGGGCTGTGCCTACGTGTGTGTGCGCGCGCATGCGCGCCCGTCCATGGAGCAGGCTGCTGGGCAGTTCTGTTCTGCCGAGAAGCAAGCACAAGGGCCACTTGTCTGCCCCGTGGGGCCGCGGGCTCCAGAGCCCCATCCCAGAGGATGTGTATCAGAGGTCACTCTGAGGGCAGTTTTCTTATTACTGCGGGGTCTTTCGGCAGCATGAGGATCAGGGGCTGCTCTGCAGGGATATGCAGGTGCCTTTCCCTCCCTGTCGGGTGCGGGCCCTGTGCTGGGGGGGGTGGGCCTCAGAGCCCCCAGCACAGCTGAGCCAGGCTCAGTGCAAGGAAGCTGGGTTTGGGAGGAGTGGCCCGAGCCCCCTTCTCCCGCTGAGCTCTGGACTTAGAGGACTACCAGCCAGCACCTGGTTCAGCGCCCCCCCCAACCCCGGAAGCCCCTAGTGGCCGTGTGGCTAGGGGAACAGGGGCTCCCCTCCCAGCCCTCCCTCACCAACGTCTCTTTGTCTCCCCGTGCTGGGGAGACAGAGCTGAGCATTTTATCTCCTCTCCGAAGCTGAGAGAACGTCGCCCATAGTGGGCGTGCCTGTAAATATTTGTGACAGTATTTTTTTACTGTGCTTGTTTATCATAAGGGGGTGGGTAAACGGTAGGGTGTTTGTGGGGTTTTTTTGGGGGGGTGGGGTGGGGGGGTTATTTTATCTTTTCTGTGGATCAGAAAAAGCAGAAGCCAAACTTGAGATAATCTTTGTTGTTTAAACGGAGGAAAATGTCTGCCACTCCACGTATTTATATGTCCCAGCCTCCGGACTGCCCGCGCCCCGTCCTGCACAGGGCCTGTCTCCCGCAGGCCCAGCTTGGCCCACCAGGCCTGTGGGGTGTGTTGTCTTCTGTTTTTCTTTCCGCAAACACATAGCTAGGAAAGTGAACGATAATGGAAAAGTTCTCAGGGAATTGAAGTGTGGTTGCTATGGTGACGTCCTTTGCTGTGAATAAAGGTGCTCTTTGGGGCAACCCCGGGGGGTCCTGGTCTTGCTGGAAGTTGGGCCAGAGACACAGGTCTGTCACAGGTCTGTCGGAGGGGCTCCAGGGGGCCTGGGGGCTTGTTTGCGCTCCTGTGGGGGAGGTGGATTAGAAGGGACTCCCAAGAGCCACTTGCAGGTGCCGGAGAGGCGCGGCCAGCCCAGGGCACCGTGGAAGTGGTCGTGGGGTGGCTGGATCGGCAGGTCTCACCCAGAGGAGCAGCCTGTAGGGTCTGTAGCTCCGGCCTGTGTGGGCCTAGCCTGCCCTGGAGGAGGGAGGGAGCTCGCGGGGGCCCAGCCTGGGACCTCCTTATCTGGCTTCATCCCCATCCCAAACCCACAAGAGGCCATATTCTTGTCCCATTTTGCAGATGGCAAAACTAAAAGCCTCAGGGCCAGTGACAGCCAAGGTCAGGCAACTGAGCGGGCGGGGGTGGTAAAGAGCTGAAACTCAAGAGGCCTGGTGGTCTTGGATCCTGGCCTCCCCTTGGGCCGGGGACCCCACACTCAACCTCGCCTCTGTGAAGGGGTTCCATGCCTGGACTGGTCCCGGCGCTGGGCCCCCAGGCCAGCCGGACGGAGGCTGGACGAGCATTCACACCGACCTTGTTTTCTGCCTGCTCCCTGTGGCTCGCTCTTCGTCACATGCAGCCTTGCGGGGGGGGGGGGGGGGGGGGGGGGGGGGGGGGGGGGGGGGAGCCGGCACTCCCTCTTCCTCACACGGAGCCCCCGCTGCCCCCCGGGTCCTCCACGTTGGCCGCTCTGCTCCACAGTTAACCTTCTCAACATGTCAGAATAAAGACAAGTGTTTGCAAAGCGCCTCCTGTCCCCACCCCTGACCTGCCGATGCCAGGCCCATCCCAGTAACCCCATGCTCACCTAGCACCCCCACGTGCAGCGTGTGGCCCAGGAGGCCCCCCCCTTCCTCACAAGGTTTGCTGGCAGCTCCTCGGGCCTGGGGGCAACTGGCCAGGGCCTGACCCCACCTTGGCTTTGTGGAGCCCTGAGTCAGTGGAGTGGGGTTTGCAGAAGGGCTGGAGGGGCAGCTGTCCCGGGGGTGTGGGCAGAGACAGGGACGGGAACCGGGGGGGGCATGAGGGGACCTCAGCATCACAGCCTGATCCCTGTCCGGAGGGTACTCTCTCGCGGACATGCTGAGGAAAGGGGGCTGCTCAGGTTCTGGCGGGCAACCACCTGCGGGCAGATGCCAAGGGCCTCCTTCCTGCCCCCCCCCACACCCCGGGGGGAGTCAGAGGAGCCCCCTGCCCTGGCCCCAGTGTCAACCCAGGGCCCAGCGACTGGCAGGAGCCTCCCCGCAGAGCTGGCGGGGCCCTGGGACACGTGGCCATGCAGCCCTCGCCGGGACAGGTGGAGCCTGCCCCAGAGCTGGGGACGTACCTGGTCACGTGGTCGTCACAGCTGGTCCAAACTGTCCTGTGTGGGGAGGAGGCCCTGGGAGCTGAGGCCTTCGTCTGAGAACGGGGATAAATGTCCTCCGGGGTCTGGGAGGCATCCAGGGGGGCTCAAGCCCTGGGGCCCTTCCCTCTTCTCAAGGAAAAGCTGGGGGGGGGGAGGGGGGAGGTTGGTTCCTCTTCAGAAGGGGAAGCAGGTCCAGCAGGGGCAGATTTCTCCCATCTGCTGCCCTCAGGGGTGTGAGGAAGGGGCCCTCCCCCAAGATGAGTCACACAGGAAAAGTGCTGACCTCGCCCTCCCCCAGGGCAGGACTGAGGAGTGTCCTGCTCTCCCCCAAACTGCCCGTCATTTGTGGGTTTGCAAGATAACACTGCGACCAGGAGGGCTGCTGGGTGCCCCCCCCCGGCCCCGCCCCTCGGCTTCCGTGGTCCAGGTCTGGGCGGGGCCGGGCCTGCGCCTGCTCAGTTTCAACCCTTCACCGGGGGCCATCCCCGCCCACTGGCCCCAGAGGTGCGTCTGAGCCGGGACGGAAAGGAGGGCTTTCCAGAGGCGGGGTGGGAGAGGTGGCCGTCGGGGTCTCGGCACAGCCCGGCAGAGGTGCGGAGGGGGCACTGCTCAGGGTGCCTGGAAGGCTGGGAGGGAGGACAGGCAGTGGACTGGGTCGCCGTAAGGCTCCGTTCCCTGCTGGGGGCTTCAGCCAGTCCTGCCCCTTCTGGGCCTGGGCTGGGGGTCGGGGGATGACCAGAGCCAGCCCCATCTTTCTGTCAGACCAACTGGCCCGTCCAGCTGCTGCCCACCCCAGCCCCGGCCTGGCCGAACGTTCTCGGGGGTGACCGCTTCCCAAGCCCTTTCTGAGCCCGGCACTTGGTCCATCACTAGGAGGAACCCAGGGGCCTGGGGTGGGGGTGGGCTCCTGTCTGAGCCCCCTCACGGTGGTCGAGGTTCTGTCAGCGTACTGAGTTAGGGCTGAGAGCTGTGCTACCCGCCTCCACGTGCCCCCTACTGGCCCCGGGCAGGCTTCTGGGACCCCCAGCCTCAGGGTGGGTGCAATCCACCTCGGTCCTTGGGTACCAGCTGGTGGTGAGAGCTGGTGGTTTCTCTCCCTGCCCAAACCCACCTTCCCCAGGACCCCCCAGCACCCCCGGGGCACGCCCCATCCTTGCCCTTCGAAGTTCACATCACGAACCTGGAAGTTCTTACCAGTATGTGGTTCGTGTAGCACGTGTAAGGCCGAGAGGCAAGCTCCAGCCAGCCACCCCGGCCGCCGTCCGGCGCCCTGGCTCTGATGCGGGGCTGGTCGCTGCACGTCCTTGTGGCCCGTCCTGGCGGGGTCTTTGGGTCGTCCCCTCAGCAGAGCCACAGTGAGCCCCAGACCCGCCGCGCCGTGGTCAGGGGGACTGGCAGGGAATGCAGAATGTCCCGAGCTCCTGGACAGGTCCCCCCGCAGTCTCCCGTCCTCTGAGGGCCCAGCGCCCCCTGCTGGACATGCCTGGCTCACTCCTGGAGAGACGCTCTTTCCACCACCGACAGACCCTCCTCGTTCCTGGCCTCGCCGGTGGTGGGATCACCACGCCTGCCGCCCACTGTGGGGATCCGCAGGCCCCTCCTTCCGGAAAAGGTTGGCTCCTGGCTCACACAGGCTCTCTCTCGCACCCTGCTCCTGCGTCCATTCCTGCGTCACTCCCCAGACCTTGCCTGCCCTGCGACCCCACTCTGCCTCCACCTCTCGTCGGTCCAGCTCCCTCCCTCCCATTTCCCGACCCTGCTGGACCCCCAGCCCCCTCACACCTCATGGGCTCGTCCTACCCTGCTTGCAGTCCCGGCTCCACTCAGGCCCGTGAACTCACCTTCACCTCCCTTGGCCTCCTGCTTCCGCGCCCTCTCTCAGCCAAGCCTCTGGTGTCTGACCTCCTGCACCTGCCCTCCGCGCCTGCTCAGCTGGACGCAAACACTGCCCTCCGGGGAGTCTCACCCTGAGTTCCAGATGGAGCCTCGGGCCCTTGGGGAATCTCCTGTCCCCGCTCTGTCCCTCCTCTCTGGCTCTCCCACAGCCCCAGGGTGGGGGGGGGCTGTACCTTCTTTGCCCCCAGCCCCCACCACTTCCTCTGGCCTCCCTACTTCATGAGACCCCCCCCAGCCCCCCCACCCGCTGCCCAAATGCTCTGACCACTAGGCCAGCAGGGGGGGCCACACTCCTGTCTATGGACTTGGGTCCCACCCTTCTTGGTGACTCAGGAAGGCCACTCCACTGACGAGCTATCCCCGTGACCTTCCCCAGGCTCTCCCGAGCCAGCCATCAGACTTCATCACACCTGCGCTTGTCCAAGACCCCAGTGGTGTCCAGGCGGCTGAACACACGGGTCACTTCCTGTGCTCGTGGAACCTGGCCATCGGCAGCCTGCGACAGGGTCCCTTGTCTCTCCTCCACACTGTCTTCGTGCGGCTCTCGGGATGCCCCCTGTCCTGGACCCTCCCTGCCTCGCTCCTCCCCACTCCCGACCTCAAACACGGGCTCTGCTGTCTCCTCTTTGGCACCCATTCCCTGGGGGACGTCACCCTGGCTCATGGCTTTCAACGCGGTACCCAAGACAAACGCTCCGGCTGACCGTCGCCGCCCGGTGCTCTCCCCTGACCCCCCACGATTCACTGTCCCCCCTGCTCTCCACATCTCCCCGGGGGGACCCAATAGACATCTTAGGCTCAACATGTCCAAAAGTGGACCACTGACCCCCTGGTCGCAAACCTGCTTCCTCCCCAGCTGCCCATCTCCGTTTGACACCACAGACCCCCACCTGCCACAGCTCCGTCCAAACCTCACGCCCACCCCCACACAGCGTGCCAGAAAGTACCGTTGGTGTTCCTTCCAGAACCCTGGGCCTTCCCACCATTGCTCGGCTGGCCAGCACCCTGCCTGGGCTGCCCTCAGCTCTGGCCTGCACCGTGGCCAGAGCTTCCTCTCTGCTCTCCTGCTTCTGCCCTGGCTCCCTTCCCAACTCGCCAGCTAGGGCCGTCCTGTTAAAACGAACGAGAGGTGGTGTCGGTCCACTCAGATGCTCCACGTCTTCCCCTCCTGCAGAGCCAGTCTCCAGGGCCTTATGAACCCCACAGGGCCTTTGAGATCCTCACACCTCTGCTTCCTCTCGGACCACCCTTCCTCTGCTCTCAATTCCAGTGACCCTCGCTTCCTTGCGTGAACACACCAGGCGTGAATCTGCCTCAGGGCCTTTGCACAGGCTGTTCTCGCTGCCCAGATATCCTCAAGACCAGCTTCCCCTGTGGGGCAGAAGAGTAACCCCCAAAGATGTCCGCATCATCTCCCTAACCGATGAATATGTTACCTTCATGGCAAAGGGAACTTCGTAGTTAAGAACCTCGAGACGAGGAGATTATTATCCTGAACTATCCAGGTGGTTCCAATGCAATCACAGAGGTCCTTGGGAGAGGGAGGCAGGAGAGTCAGGGTCAGACCGAGGGACCCAAAGGTGCTCCACTGCTGGCTTACAAGATGGAGGGGCTGTGAACCACGGAATGTGGCCGCTTGGAGAACCAGGATGTCACTGTGCCCTCCCTGACATACAG